CCTTCCTTCCTTCCTTCCTTCCTTCCTTCCTTCCTTCCTTCCTTCCTTCCTTTTATTTCAGGAGAAGACAAGGCACAGTAAAAAAAGAAAAGAAAAAGCACAATTAATAGCACAGATGCACAGAAATTATACTAACGACTGGCCTTTTCTTTATAGTAATAAAAACAATAAAAACAGTGAGAGCTGCAGGGCCAAATTATTATATCAACTGGTTCATGAAAATGTGCAGAAATGTATAATGATAGAGACTACTAATGTACTTGGTGTCCCAGTTACAGTTAAGTGGCCTTTAGTACACAGTGTTCTTACTATAAACATAGCCAGGATATACATGTCAGTGCATAAAAACAAGATAAAAATATTAATGTTTTTGCTCTGAAAAAGATACCAGTTTTAAAGCAGGTCCAACTAGGTCCATTTCTCTATAAATACATATCAGTGCATGAGAGTCACTGAACTTTTTAACATAGGTATGGAACCCAGTGTCTATTTAGTACCTTTATATATAGGAAAAAATAACATTCAGGCTAGTAAAAAATGTTAGTGAGGCCATTTTCATCCGATAAACTAAACACATTTTATATTCAAGTATGAATATAAGATATAACAGCATAGTAAGTCCTTAAATGTACGCACTTCTTAAATACACACACACACACACACACACACAAATACTGGCTTTTATGATCTGTCCCATATATATAAATGATAAGACATGAATTTGAGACTGTTTTTCAAGCTTATATCCTTCCTCTGCCTACTGTAACTAGCCCATACTGAAACAACATTCTCTTTTGCAAATTGATTGATTATGCGCCATCTTATATAATAAGATGTAGTAGCAGCATGAAAATAAATCTGCATAAATAAGAGAATTTGCTGGAGGGAAGAATCATCACTTGAATGTAGACAAGTAGGAAAAATGAAGAAGCAGTATAGATGGATCCACAGTGCCTATGCATACTCACTATTGAGCAACTAAGCGCAGTCTGTTACAGTACCATGCAGATGTGATATTTATTTATTTGTTTGTTTGTTTGTTTGTTTATTCATTTTTGAATTTGTATGCTGCCCATCTCCCCCAACGGGTGACTCTGGGTGGCTCACAATTAAAATCAAAAACCCCATAAATAATTAAGATTAGTTAATCCGTTAAAAATCAACTATAAAAACAAACCCTATACATAAATACTAAAAACATCCAAGATGGGGAGGCACAGTCAATTACCCCACAAGCCACCCCCACTGGTGTGAGCCTCCAGGCCTTCTGGCATAGCCAGGATTTCACACCTTTCCTGAAGGCCATGAGTGGGGGCACATATACTCTTTACACCCATATTTATAAGATATACTCTTATAAACCATAACTTGTACAGAGATCCTAACCTCTTCTGACTTGAATATTGAACAGAATCAGGTAAAGCAATTTAGCTTAGTCTCCAGACAGAGCTGACAAGAGAGCGCCCACAAATGCCAGAGCATCCATGAAATTCCCAGATGACATCCACAGAACCCCAATATTAAATGTAAAAATATTATGAAATTTCAGAGTTGCTTCAGGATAATTTGTGAGATTTCAGGATGTCAAAATCTCATAAGAGATCTTGGCAATGAGAGCAATGAAATCTCACAAGGTTTAGGGACTTCTCAAGATATTAGACATTTTTGACTTTTGGATATTGGCCTGTATCATATCAGATTGTACAATCTCATATAGCACCTGAAAAACCTGATGGCACCCTATTTTACTGTTTTAAAGTTAATTAATTAATTGAATGGCATTCTTTCTCATGGAAAATGTTTGGTAAGCATGTGCTAAACGTGAAACAACTTTAAGGTTTGGGGCACAAATAAATCTTTGAAGAGTTAAAATAGGAAGGATGTAGCAAGCTATGTTGCATGCAAAGGGTCTCTGGTTCAATTCTAGCCGGGAAACCTAGAAAAAACACCTTTCTGATAACCTGGGAAAAATACTGCTAGATCAATACTGATGGCTGGGCTTAGTGGAAATGTTCCTTGCAACAATGTACATTAATAAGTCATTTATGTACATGATTTATCTTTGCATATAGAACTTGGTAAAATATTACCTGCAACGTAATCCCCAAATCCAATTGTTGTTAAGGTGATAACTACAAAATAAATTGCATCTAATGTATTCCAGCCTTCTATGTGCTTGAAAATGACTGCCGGAAGAGCAACAAACAGAACACAGCCAAACAGTATGAATATTATTGTTGATATTATGCGGATCTTTGTCTGACTCACATTCCATTTCTGTGGTGGGTGGAGAGAATAAACACAGGGGATGGAAGAAGAGAGAGAAAGAGAGAAAAAAAGAATCCATGATTAGTAAAGTAATATTATTTCATGTATGTATATGTAGGTATGCATTTATAAAATATGTAAATCTTTCTACTAAAACCCAGTTGACACAGTCTGCAAATGTTTTAAATCAAAATAGATGGAAAAACAGCTCTAACAGTATAGCCAAAGAGTGACAGAATAGATTAAAGCCATTTCAAAATCATAAGGTAAAAAAAAAAGTTTTTCAACATTTCTCTGTAAAGTAGTTTTAGCAGATCTACAAAGGGCCTATAGGGATATTTAATCACTATCAACCCCACTAAGCTTACATGGAATTGTTTCCTCTGAAAAAGAAATGGATGGGTAAGTTTTCATACAATCATTAACATTTGCCTGCTCCCATGGATGTTTATCTAGGAGAAAGTAAGTGATTTCAATGGGATTCAGTGCCAAGTAAGTATGCATAAGATTACAACCATGTGCTGTGAATAAATGGGAGTAGAGGGGAGCTAAATTCCAAGGTTACTCCCATTCTCTTTCATATATAGAAAGTTCATAATTCATCATGTCAACACATTTCTGCAAATGAATAAGGTTTTCTACACCTTTTGAGGAAAGGGGAAAGGAAAAAAGAACTAGTGTAAGGTGGATAGGTGATGTAAATAACATTTAAATGAATATTTATATGGATCCATTTCACAACAAATTGTTTATATCAAGAATAGTCTACCTTTCTTCAATAGCTCCATCTGCAAGAGGTAAGCAAAGCTACCCACAGCATGAAGCTAACATACAACAGCTACAATTACCAGATTTTATATGCAGTCATCCAAGACAGGAAGGAATCTCCCCATAAAAAGTAGGTAATTCTCTTAAGAAGAAAATGATCTGACAACAAAAACACCAAAATGCATGTCATCTGCAATGTTCATGCTTTATTTCATGATGGTAAGTGTTGGCTTGGTTACATTAATTAGTCTTGATTTCAATACATGTTCTATTCAGGGAATTTATTTCTACTGATAATTGCTGTAATGGCAGCAACACAATTTCCATCAAAGTCATGGTAAGAATATTGTTTCATTGAACTATTGATACTATAATTAGGAAAATGTCATAAAATTGAAATAAGATATTAAATAAGGTCAAAAAGCTGAAAAGAGTTACTATCCCCTAGTTCTGGAAAAGGGTTCAGTACCTGTAAAATGTATGCGCAGAACACTCTTCCAAATAGTGCAACCATTTAACAAAACATATTGTGAGGGAAAACCCATCACCTCTTTAGCTGATTAATAGAATTGCACTGTGCCCACAGCACAAAGTTCTATCTCACACTACCTTCATATACACCTTCATACACACACTACATACTACACATTGGTGTAGGAACCAGCTGGTGTATATGGGCTTTATCGTTATATGTTCACTGTAGGAAAACCACTGTATCTCCAGAACTTCCTATGGTAATTGTCTATCTGTATATTTGGCTTTTTTTTTTTTTTTGCTTTTCATTTCACATTCCTCAGGATTTTATTTTAGGATTGCACCTTCCTATTCTGTTATCGGTAGTTATGAAACTGAAGTAAAATAGTAAATGCGATTTGATCTTTTATTGAAGTAAATGTAAAATATGTATGTATCTATTGAGGTATAGCATCAACTACTACATCATTCAGCAGATTAAAAAAATAAAATAGGGTGTTACAAATGATTAAAATTAATAGGATGCCCCTCAACTCTGCAAGGGAGTACCTCACCTGGAATACTCAATCCTCACTTGCTGCCAGATAAGCTCATGACAACCATAGATGAACCTCCCCAGATGATCTTAATAAGTATGGAGATTCATATAGAAAGAGGCAGGCTCTCCAACAGACCTAAAGCTCATGTGGAGCTTTATCAGTAATTATCAGTGTTTTGTATTTTGCCTGGAGAGGACCTGGAAGTCAATGCAAAGCAAAACTGTAATACGCTCTCCTTGTGTGCCTCCCAAGACGAACCTGGCTGCTGAGTTTTGTACCAGCTAAAGTTATGGATTAGATACAATGGCAGCCCTGCGTCAAATGTGTTATTATAGTTATATCTGGAAGTTATCAGGATGGACACAACAGTTTTGAGGTCATATTCCAGAAACAGACACAGGGTATCAACCAAAGCGAATGAAAGGTGCTCCTCACCATTTCCTTACTCTGGGAAATCAGAAAGAAATTTGGGTCCACTCCCAAACTGTGTACACTTCCTGCTCCTGGGAGAATATAATCCCATTCAGAACAGGCAGATCTACCATCTCTCTGGACCCTCACCTCCATCCTGGTTAGATTCAGTTTCATTTTATTATCTCTCATGAGACCATCATTGACCAAGGCAAACATTGGGGGTGGGCTACATTATTTCCCAAAGATGAGATAAAATGAGTGTGATTAGCATGCTGATAGTATCCAGCTCCAAATGTCCTCATGATCTCCCCAATTGCTTGTAAATACTGAAAAGCATTGCAGACAGAATGGAACTCTGAAGGACCCCATATAATTTCTAGTTTGAGAAGTAACAGTCTACAAGTGACACTGTCTGGAATCTACATGAGAGAGGGGAATAGAACCACTGCAAAGCCATAGCTCCTATTCCCCAAATTCTCTGGTCATCCAGAAGGATAGCATGGACAATGGTATTGAAAGCTGTTGAAAGGTTAAAAAACACAATGCTCTTTTTGTTGATCCCCAACAAAAATCATCCATCACTCCCACAGAATAAGTTAAAACAATATCCAGACTAGCCTAAATATGAGAGATTTCATTTGCAAAAAAGTAATTGTGATAGAACTCTGGAAAGAAGTGGAAGCACAGGCCAGCCCAGTTACACTCTGAAACAAGTCAGCAGGATGCAAGTTTGTAAAAGGAATAAATGCATGAAAAAACTGCTTCTTTTCTGCAAGTATTGCCACAGCATAGCCCTGCAGATTTTTATCAGATTTGAGCTGGATCTTCTTCTACCTGTACTCCAGCATTCTACCTTGCTGCTTCAGCTCCCACATATGCCACAGAGCCACATTTTAAACAGGTCAGAGAGGGCACTTGAGAGCAATTGGATGGAGGGAGTACAACCATTCTTGTCTTGCTAAACTTCTCAGCAGCTTTTGATACTGTCAATCATAGTACTCTTCAGGATCACCTGCAAAGTTTGGGAATTGGGGTACTGAATTACAATGGTTCCTTTCCTTCCTGAATGGAAGGATCCATTGGTTATTGTTGGGGTCTTGGGTCTCCATTATGGGATGCCTCACGTCAGAGCTTGGTCTTCTCCTATACTCTGTTAAACATCTATATGAAATTTGCTAGTTTGCAGTGAGATATCCCCAGTATGTAGATGATACCTAGCTGAACATCTCCACCCTGAGCTGAATAGGGAATAGGGTGATTGGAGGCTGTAAGGGTCTGGATAAGGAAGATCAGGCTCAGACTCAATAGTAGCAAGATGGGGATTTATTTAGAAGTCCACTGATTCTGGGATTCTACCATTTTTGGCTCTCCAAAGAAAGTAGATGATCTGAAGCTGTATGGAAAAACACCATCTGAAATAGAATTGCTGCTCAACACTGTCCAAATAAAGTAGATGATCTGAAGCTGTATGGAAAAACACCATCTGAAATAGAATTGCTGCTCAACACTGTCCAAATAAAGTAGATGATCTGAAGCTGTATGGAAAAACACCATCTGAAATAGAATTGCTGCTCAACACTGTCCAAATAAAGTAGATGATCTGAAGCTGTATGGAAAAACACCATCTGAAATAGAATTGCTGCTCAACACTGTCCAAATATACAGCCAAGATATTGCAATGGAGTTTGGACTGGACAAATGTGCCACCCTTACCATCAACAGGGGAAAAATAGGGGAAACTGAAGGAATCAATATGCCCAATGGAAATGACATCAAGAGTCTGGATGAAGAAGATCAGTACAAATACCTGGGCATCCTTCAGGCTGGCAACATCAAACACACTGAAGTTAAGAAGAAGGTTAGTAGTGAATACATCAGAAGAGTGAATAAGATTTTAAAGTCCATACCATCAAGGTGATTAACACCTGAGCAATTCCTGTCATTAGATATACAGCTGGAATAGTGGACTGGACTCAAGCAGAATTAAAAGCCCTGGACAGGAAGACCAGAAAAATAATGAAATGAATCATGCCCTTCATCCATGCAGTGATGTTGACAGACTCTAGTTATCAAGGCGCATTGGTGGGCATGAATGTTACAAGTACACCAGACAGTTGAAGAAGAAAAAAGGGCATTGGAAGGATATCTGAAGGACAGTGAAGAAGATGCACTGAAGCTAGTACAGCATGAAGGCTTATTGATCACTGAAGAAACCAAACTGGCCTATAAGAAAGACCAAATGAAGAACAGAAAAGAGACATGACAAGGCAAAGC